TCTCGCCGGTCTGGGGGCCGTGGGCTCCACATCGCGGCGCCGTGGGCTCCGTGGGCCTGGGGCAGGAGTAAGCGGCAGCCGGCAGTTTTGCTTTGCCGGACTTGGGCCGGATACGGAAGTGCTGGGGGTTGGGGAGGTGATGCTGCGGTGCTCAACCGCCGGTGACTTACTGCCTTTGTCGGATAGGCAAAAAAAGAGTAGATATTTTTGTGAGAGCTTGGAATTAAATCTGGGGAGAAGGCGACTGGTTTTATAGGCTGTGGAATAGGTCCTGTGAGGTAAATACCGTGTGCTTCTAAAAGCAAGTGTTGTCAGGAGAAGAAGATGCAAAGACTGCTACCCTATGTAACGCTAGTAACTGTTTTTTACAGAAGGGCATCTCTGTAGATGCTTCTTCCCGATTGGGGAGGCATTGTGTTATCTGCTACTTGTGTGGCGCTGTCAACAACTGCTGTTGTTGAATAGTAATTACCTACTGTAATTTTTATTTCTTTCTCCAGTCATATTCCTAACCAAGTTCCAAATGCTGTGGGGTTTGTTGGGGTTTTTTTTTTCCCCCACTTAATACCTGAAGCTTGCAGGAGCTCACTGAACCAGAGCAAAAAACTTTGTGTGGAGTTAGGAGGGTAGCAGGAATCGCAAAGTGGGCCAGTGAGTGGACAGCTTCCAGGGCAGGAAAACAGAACCTACGAAGAGCTTAACAGGGAAAACATCTATGTAATGAATCTGGGAGACTGGGCAGCTGAGTAACAGCCAATGCCAAAAGTTATTAATGTGGCTTCCAGTTTGTTGTCGTTATAGGACATACAGAACAAATGCAGTCATGCAGAAAGTTTGATTTTGTACCCAAGCAAGCAGGCTGAGATTTGCAATTGCTTTTTTGCCCATTGGGAGGAAAATATTAGTAAAAGACTGAGTCATGCTGCTAATAAATATTTTATACGACTTAATAGATTTTTTTTTTTTTTAAATGCTGGTTATTGGTTCCTGAATGAGACTTTAAGTATGTTTTGATTTTGGTAACAAATAAAAATTGCAAAAGGAAAACAAGTTTGGTCAGGTTTGATCCCAAGTTTTATCTCGGTAAACTGTGCTGTGCTTAGGTAAGGTGACACTGTGCACAGAAACTGATGATTGCCCTTCTTTTTGTGGTGATTTTGCAATAAAAGTTACAGGAGTGTTTTCAGAATTGGTTACTTTATTGCCTACCTATGAAAACAGAACTGGAAAGCATGAGGGAAAAAGTTTGCATGCTCATGGATTTGTCGTATAGGTGCCAGTGCAGAAAGTTTGATCAAAGTTTTTGGCTTGCTTTTCAAAGTCTTGGCAGTTTCCAGGAGAAGGAGTATTATTTTGAGTAAACATTGAATTAAAACACTTATATATAAACTTACTTTTTTAGTTTCTGAGAAGAGCAGTGTTTTCTGTGAGCTAAATAGTGCTGTATCATCTAACAGTACTAAAGTCTGAAATTGTTTCTCAGTTCAATTTATGTTTCCATTTTCATTTAGTTATATCCAAAAGTATTTAAATATTATTTTCTTTATTTTTAGGAGGTGCAAAAGCACTCTGTGCACACGCTTGTGTTCAGATCTTTGAAGAGAACCCATGACATGTTTGTAGCTGATAATGCCAAGCCTATCCCATTAGATGAAGAAAGGTAGGTACTGGAATCAGTGAGTTACTGGTATGGCTCAAAGTTTTCAGTTATGTCAGTGATAGCTCCATCCAAGTCAGAAGTTCAGATATTTCTGTAGAGTTATAGTGTAGTCCTGAGAGAAGAAAAAAATATTAGAATCGTAACATAAGCTGTATAAAAACTGCTCTAAAATTTTTTGAAACTTAATAACTCATAAAATTGGGTTCAATCAGTATTATACTTTGCTCTTCCAACAGTCACAAAGTAAAGATGGCAGTCAAGCTGCGTACGGAGTATGGCTCCGTGTTACATATGCCTACTCTGAAAGAAAACTTGAGAGAGAAAGGAGGTCCAAACACCGGGGATCCTTATGGACACAAACAGTATTCTGGAAATCAAGGTTAGTTTGCTCTTAGTGGCATATTAGTGCTTTCTTTTGTGACAGTCTCACTGTTGTAAAATCTGAAGAATGCAGTCCGATGTTAATCCATCAGAGATAAAGATGGAAATCAAAATACCATTTTTTCATTGTTTAGTATTTTTCTTGCTTGGGTATACAGGAGGTACGTGATTTGGAACAAGGAAGAAGTTTGTTTTAACAAAAGAGTAATAGGATGCCATGAATTTTTTACAGTAACTCATCAGCAAAACACAATTTTTATGGTGATGTTAGTGTGTGCTGTACTTAGGTGTTAGATCAGTAATGTATGTCTCCTTTTTGCGAGTTCATTATGGTCAAGGACGTGCTCTTTTGTTTTTAATTTTGTTTCATAGAATTTTTTTCAGACTTCCTTTAGCTGTGCAACTATTAAACCAGAAAACTCTTTGTCTTGAATCTGGGTTTTTCTCTATGTGTGGTTACATAGAAAATGTGTACACATTAGGTAGATTCCATACAGAAACTTCTTTTCTAAAGAATGCCAAGTGCCACCTTATTTTAGTTGAGAAATTTATTTTCAAGGTACTTTATTTGTAAGTATTCTGAGAGTAAAAGATGTTGAGACGTAATGAAATTTTTTTTAAGAAAAGAACCTTTGTCTTTTCTGATACCACACAGTCAATGGTTTTGACTAGCTTGGGTTTCAGACACCCGTGCTATTTGTGTACTTGAATCATATTCCATGGTATGTACTTCAAAAGGCATCTTTGTCAGTATGAAGATTTTTCTCTTGAGAACAAGTGGCATCACCATTTTAAAAATGTTATTTTACTTGTGAGTTTTAGAAAACTGAGGTAACCAGAACAAATGTAATTGATGAAAATGAGAGATGTCTAAGTGTAGTGCACTAAAAGTGGTTGCTGGTTTCTCCTGCTATGTATGACCTGTTTTCCTGTATTTCCTGTTTGAGTGCATCATTTGCAGTGCAATATAAAAATGTAATCATTAATACAACATTTTGTTGCTCTTTAGGACAAGAACTTGAGTATATGATAACTGGTACACATCCATACCCGCCTGGTCCTGGTAAGTAAAAGTCTGTGCTTATTTGCCTGGGATTTTTGCCTTCCTGTGTGAGCTAGGCATCCTTCATCCTAGCAGGAGCAGGCATCCTGTTGCTGTGAATCCATAGCTGATAGTAGTGGGAAATGCCTTTGAAGAGTCGTTCATAGTATTGATGCAGAGAGTTTTGTGGCTGACAAATGTTCTGGAGTAGGAGGGGGATTTAGGTACAGATGTGGTATTTTCTCCCTAGGCCTCAGTGGATATGAGCTTGCTGTGAGGCGGTCATTCATTACTATGAGATTTCACCTCCTGTGGTAACACAATTATGAAAATGTTCTGGGAATCCCCTCTCTGATGTTGTGGTCCCCTTTCTCTTGGAGAGCTTGCAGGGACCCACAGATTCCTGGTGTCTCCACTGTTGTGGCAGAGCTGCTCTTAGAGTTTTGTTGTGAAGGAGGGTGGGTTCCAGCTAGAAGGAAGTTGAATGAGAAGAGGGGATGTATCGTGTTTTTCATCACCAGAGCAGAAAGGTATCGCTGCCTTGCTCTAAGATTCATTAGGGTCTAATAATTTTAGTGTAATTGGTTTTGTCTGTGTTTGGAAAGGTTATGTTTCTGTGTTGTTACATTGGCCATTGATAATTGTCACTGGTATTGATCAACTCTGATCTTTCCTTGTAGCAGTTTAGTTTAGCTGTTGATCTTTTACTGTTTGTGCTGAAGTTTATACTGGGTAGGGTAGGAAATGTGTTGTGGCTTGGTTTGTAAGTTAAGACGTGCGAGTGTTCAATGGACCCTCAGCCGTTAAAAAAATGCACATAGTTCACTTACTGGGGGCAAGACCTGCTCACAGAGGTTTCCTCAGGTTCAGTGTTCTTTTAGTAGAATCAGATATGTCACGGTTAAAAATCGGATTTCTTTCATTGTTATTTCTTGTTTTAACCTGAGCATCTCACCCAAATATTGTCTTTGTTGTCAGCTGCCAGAACTTTGGTTAGGAAAGAAATAGAGAAATGGGAGTAGAATGAATTCAGCAGTCTGCACCAAAACTACACTTTGCAAAGAGTTTTAAAAGTGAACTGCTTTCTCTTTAAAATTAGGTTGTAAATTGTAGTCTGAAATTCTCACTTCAGTAGGACTAAACCTTTTGTAGTTCTGGCAGCACTGCATGATGCCAACCACCACATACGGATGGCATAATAAACTGCACTAGAGGACCCAAGTTAGCAAGTGCTTCTGAAGGTCATGTTTATTTCTGTGATGTTTGGATTTCTATAGTTGTTGAAGCTGGATGAAAAGATGGATGCTGCTCCTAGTTAGGCTTTTTTTTTGTTTCCAATGACAGAATTATATCATTTTCCGCTCTCGAAGTTGTATACCTATGTATGTAGGAGAATCAAGATGGAAAGGATTTGGGCCAAAATAGAAATTTCAGTAGACTTGCATATGAAAAATAATGTCATTGAATTATAGGATTTACTATTATATTACATGGGTTTGGCAAGCCCTTGTTCACAGGTGTATGTGTGTTTATATACTATGCTTTTATGGATTTTTCTTTTTAATACAGTTGTCTCTGCTTTCGCTATGTTATTTGTTTTCCAGGTGTGGCTCTCACAGCAGATACTAAGGTCCAGAGGATGCCTAGTGAATCTGCAGCACAGTCCTTAGCAGTATCACTTCCTGCTTCTCAGTCCAGGTACTGCTGTGTTACTTCATTAACACTTTTGTAATCTATGGGAATTTCAAGGCAAAACACAGAAGTCACGATAAGAGCTACTTTGAGTTATTTTGAATATTCTAATTTATCAAGTATTTAAAGAAACTGTTCTTAATGTAGCCAAGCATCATTTTCCAGAGCACATTTTTTTCTTGGATGTCATGGAACAAGGGAAATTCTGTTTAGATACAAGAAGAAAAAGTGGGATTTTTTTGGGTGTCTTTTACTGTGAGGTGGTCAGACACTGGAAGAGATTGCTCAGAGGCTGTGGAGTCTCCATCCGTGGAGGTGTACAGCACTCAACTGGATGCAGCCCTGTGATGCCTTACTTAGTGAAAGACAAAGTTGATTCCATCCATCAACCATTTTCATTCAACCTAGGTTGGAAGCAAATCGGACAGCTGCTGGCGTGGGTGATATTTACAGGCACGCTGGAATGTCTGAGCGTTCGCAGCCTCCTGGGATGTCTGTGGTGAGTTTGTTGCACGTCTAATGTGAGAAGTATGTCACGTTCACAAGATTGGTTCTGCATTCATTTGTGTGTAGATCTCCTGACTGACTGAATTTAATCAATGTTGAAATGTCAGAGAGAGAAGGCTTTAGGTTTTAGGCAAAGAGGTAAGTTATAAGGCATAAGAGTAACCTTTCTTGTAACTTACAGGCTATGGTGGAAGCTGGTGGAAACAAAAATTCTGCATTAATGGCAAAGAAGGCTCCAACCATGCCCAAACCTCAGTGGCACCCGCCTTGGAAACTGTACAGAGTAAGTTACAAATGTATGGCATGAACATGCATATGAAAGCAAATGAATATTTTATATCGTGTAAAGACCTCAAAGCATAATTTTTGCTTCTTATTCATAAAAATGAAAAGTGATCATGACTAAGTTGTATACCCACACTCTCCTTAAATAAGAGATTAGATCACAAGCCCTTTTCATTCTATTTAGCAAATTATTTTGTGAATATTAATTTTACCCTTTTGTTTCTGGAGGTTTAGCTGTAGTATAAATTCATTAGAGTTTGTTTTTTTCTGTTCTAGTGAGATTCTTTAGAGAGACAAAGTGCAAAATTTGAAACTACTAACATGCTAAAGAAACACTCTAGCAATATTAACATAATGAAATCATCTGCAAAAACATTTAAAGGCAGTCAGTGTCTGAGTCAGCCAGACTTCTTTCACCTGCTATAAAAATGGGGGGGAAAAAAGCTGAATACTTTAATCACAAATTTTCTTTGCACTTTAGATTGTTTTACTTCTAGTCTTGTTTTTCAGTTAATCTAATTTGCCTTTTAATTTTCTTAAGGACTAATAATAGCCATTCCTCCAAAGTCTTGTATCATCTTTAAACGTTTTGGTGATGAGCATGGCAGGGTAGCTGAGTTGAAGGGAAAATCTCTAAGCTTGTGTATTGGTTTAGATCTCTGACTTTTCAGGTCCATCTGTTTGAACGTGTACATATTTTTTTTTTCTGAGGGGCTGATTCTTACTATGAAATCTAAGCAATTTCATATTTTGTCTGAGAGAGGGTGAATATTATTTCAGGAATGTCAGTCTTTCTTGACATTTAAAAAGCTCATGCTCTGGTATTAGAATTATATTGTTTTAGCACTGTTCATCTAAATATAGCACCATATGTAGGCATTTAGATCTTCAGAAGAATCCTGAATGCTGTATTAGTCATAAATCTTAAGACTAATCTTAAAAAATAATTTGAAAACACTTGAGCTCAAAGGAATATGTAGGGTTTCTAAATACAGCAGTATTAGAACATGCTCTATATAAAAAGTAAGACAAATGTCATTTGAAAAAAGGGCACCAAAGTAAACCCATGAGAGTTTTAAGATAAACAAATGAAAAATTACTTGTTAGGAGCACTTTCTTCTCAGAGAGACAATGTAAATACAATTCAAGTCACTGTACTAATTCTACATGTCAACAGTTTTAGTGGAGGCTTGCTGTTTCAAAATCCTTGCTGAACAGGACAAAGGCTTGTTCAAGCAACTCGGAACTAGGAGCATAGCTGAAACGCCAAATATGGGTTTTATCTTATCTGTTGCTTAAGATCTGCATTTTAACTGGTCTTCCTAAGCTTAGCGTGAAGTCGTTTATGAAAGATGAGGAATTAAAATAGGTCAGATAATTTTTTTCTTAGATATCTCCCCTAGAAATGTCCGTTTCTTTTCCTAGACCATGAAGAAATCTATAAATGTATGTGGCTGTGGTCTCAGATAGTCAGAAGAATCTAGTTCAGCTTTCCAAAGTATTTCTGCCTCAGAACTTTTGGTGTGTTCTAGGTTTTTTTGAAATGAGCTGTATATGAAGTCTGACAACCAGCATAACCAAATATGGGTTTTGATTTTATCTTTATCACTTTCGAGAAATTAGGAAACAGAAAGGCTGCTGTTAGCAAGCCATGTATTGGTAGAGCTTTTCCTGTGAGATCTCTCTCCAGGATTTTGTTACCAGAAAATTTTCAGCATATTCATATTCCCCTTATTTGGGGAAAAGGAGGTGGTGGCCTATTTTAAGAGGTAGCTATGATATTGCAATGTGATTTAATAGCCAAGATTTTTTATAATTGTTTTTCATTGTTGTATAAGCACTATACAGCAGCATAAGGAACTTGGTGCTTAAATACAGTCTTTGTCTGCAAAGCCTCAACCGTCGAGCCACAGTGTTATGGACTCTCAAAGGATTTGAAAAAGTTGCTTATGGGAGTAGGGTCTTTCTGTGCTGCAACTTCCCCAAGTCTAGTGTATGACATGAATTTCTAGTAGTCTACTCATTTAACTAAAGCAGAAATTATGCTCTCTTCAGATCTAATCTCCCATTTTACCTTTTTGGGGAGCATGTATTTCTTGGTGAGTACTAACAAATTTCAGTGGTGGAGAATTAAAATTATACTGACAGATGTGCGTCTATTATTTCTGATTTAGTTTTTTTTGTTTGTTTTTTTTTCTAAAGGTTATCAGTGGTCACCTGGGGTGGGTGAGATGTATTGCAGTAGAACCAGGAAATCAGTGGTTTGTTACTGGCTCTGCTGACAGAACTATAAAGGTAAGAGGTTGGAAGAAATCAAAGACAAAGCTTGGGAGTGGTTTTTTTTTTTTTTTGTTTCTGTATTAAAAAAAGTCTTCAGGCCTTGGAAACAATTTCTTGGTTACTGCTTGCAAAATAATGAACTGCAGAATGTTTTTTCTTATGTAGTCATAAAGGATTTGTGGAATATTACTTCTTGAGATTTCATTTATTACATGGTTGTAGCTGGAGAGCAAATCTTTACGTTGTAATTTTTAATTTAAAATGCAGCATGATCAGTTACATCTGTGCTGTTTATTGCGACTATCATTGTAGCTTTTACCTGTCTACCTCAAAATACCTATTTTGATGCAGATTTGGGACCTTGCTAGTGGCAAATTGAAATTGTCTTTGACGGGGCACATCAGTACTGTACGAGGGGTGATAGTAAGCGCAAGAAGTCCATACCTCTTTTCTTGTGGAGAAGACAAACAAGTGAAATGCTGGGATCTTGAATACAATAAGGTAAGCCATCGTTTCCTTAACTGGAATTAATTAGTGGTGGCAAATATAAAAATCAAAGCATTTAGAATAGTCTTTCAAATATCCAGTTAGTGTGTGTGTGTTTTTATTCACCTAGGTTATCAGACATTACCATGGTCATCTAAGTGCTGTCTATGGTTTAGACTTGCATCCAACAATAGATGTACTGGTAACATGTAGCAGAGATTCAACAGCACGAGTAAGTATAACATAGTTATTTTTTAACAGTTTGCTATGTCGGTGTGTTCCAACATCTTCCATTTGTAAAAGTGAATACTTACCAAAAGTTAACATGAATCAAGATGAAAATACTAAGATGATTTATATTAACTTTGTCTTCCATTGTTGATAAAAACTGAAGCCCAAATATACAGAAACGCAGTGTCACTTCAGGAGAATGTTTTATTTCTGTATTTAGTAGGTAGACTACGTGCTGTATATAGGATCACTTGGTTTTGTTTAGAAGATGCTATGGTTTTGTCGTGACTGTTATCTGTATGTCTAGAAATGCAGTGACAAGCTTCCTGCTCCCCTTGAAATTGGCCAGTTGAGGCAGTTGTGTGATAAATTTTTGGAAAAAAACAACCTAAATGCCCTGGTTTAATCTGTAGAACTATGGCAAGGAATTCATGTAACCAGTGATGGTGTCTAAAATACATTGAATATGCACCTGTTTTTGACCTCTTGACTTATTCACTGCAAACTCATAGATTTGGGATGTGAGGACAAAAGCCAGTGTGCACACGCTATCAGGACACACAAATGCAGTGGCGACAGTGAAGTGCCAAGCTGCAGAACCACAGATCATTACAGGTATAGTGGGCATGGTTTCACAATTAACATGATTGTAAAACCTAGTCATGAATGTATTTGTTCAGTAATTATGTGAGGTTCATAACATTATCTTGGTTAATGTATTCAATTTCTCTTAGTTTTCTGTTGTTAATGGGCCATTCAATGGTTATTTCACACGATTAATGGTATGTTTAAGCAAATATAGCCATGCATTGTTAGAACACTTTTCTGCACTTCCTTTGTTTCTGGACATTTTTTGTTGTAATATGTGTTGAGATTTGCATTTTATGTGGTGTTTCACAGTTCTCCCCAATTCAGTTAGGAGGTGTCCAGTACCATGGTTAAATATAAAGTTCATCTTCTTTCCCATTATGTCAAAATCTAGCTAATATACAACAAGTGTAACTACTCAGGTCTCCTTGAATTTCAGACTACGTAAAGAGACTGTTATAACCCCGCATCTTGCTTGTCTGAGGTGGCTTTAGTATCATTTTTTTGTAACAAACATCGACAATATTTTTGTCTCTTTCACGTATAAGGTTTTTGGCTGCCTTATCAAAATAATACTCATGAAAGAATCAATATTATGGTTTCAGCTAATTTTTTTTCTTTTCATTGCAGGCAGTCATGATACTACCATACGGCTCTGGGATTTAGTGGCAGGAAAAACTCGTGTTACTTTAACAAACCACAAGAAATCTGTAAGAGCAGTAGTGCTACATCCAAGACAGTAAGTTTTCCTCGTTCTTTTATGCTTTCACAGTTCATAACAGTGGGTGGTGACAGAAGGCCAATGTGAGTGATGATTTAGAATAGTAGGGCGTAATAATGTGAAAAACTAACAAGCTGAGAATGCTGTAAAAATGTACATATCAGTTCACAAATACCTTTGCTCCCCAAGTATTGGCATTGGTGTACACTAGCAATCCTGAGAATGTCTTATATCCCACAAAATTTCTTATGTATGTGCCTTTGCCATCCTTGGGAGATCAGTGACACTGGGCTTGTAAGGCTAATAATAAATATTTATAGTTTATTATATGTTATATTCTAATAATATATTAGAATATAATAAATATAACTGAACAATTAGTGGAAAGTGAAGTAGTTTGTAAAATGGCACGTCTAAATAATGCTAAAGGAGGCAGTGATTAATACAAAGGGATTTTTTTGAATATGTGGTTCACAGCACGAGACATTTCAATCTCACTGGCCTTAAAAAGAAACTTCTTGTGACTGTTTAATCTTTGAAGCAGGTGGTGTTGGAAGTGCTCTGAATTTAGATGCTATATTATGATGCATCAACATTTGCCTGCTTGGATAAATCCCCATTAAAACAGTGGGGAAAAGGAATTCACATAGAACTGCAGTACTTCTGCACCTTCTATGTTTTAAAATGAAATTCTGTCAGTGCAGAAATTCTGAATGTTTGATATGAATAAATTCTGATCCAATCTCTGTGCCTGAAAGATTGGAAAAATCTTATGATATGCCCATTAGCTATAGCAGAGAAAACTCCTAGTTTTACTTCTGTTCTGCAAAAAAAAAAAATATTCTGGTTTCAGATTCATCAGTCATACCTCTTTGAAAAAAAATTGAAGCAGTATCAAATGTCAGCCCAGTACTTTTTTTTATATTTCGGTACTTCTATCTTTTTAATATTCCAGTATTTTTTTTCTAATAATCTATTATTTTGATTGAAGGATCTATTAAATAGTAAATCGTTTGGACATTGTGGCAATTGAAAATACTCCTACAGGCTTTTGTATGTGCTATCCAAATAACCTTGTAACTGCTTGCACATGTTAAGATGAGGGAATTGATTATTTTAGGGTAGCTCAGTAAAACAAATTCTTTCGTAGTTCACTTTTTTGACCAGCCAATACTGGAGGTTTTGTTTGGGGTTTGCTGCTTTTTTTAATACCTTTACTGATGCTGCCCTTATACCTGAAAATTTGCCAGAGTAACAACTGACAATAACTCAATATACCTTTTTAATGTTTGTTTGAATATTAACATCCTAAATGGCGTAGGATTTATAAAGTTTAGGTACTCTATGGAACAGAAGGGCAACAGTAGAAATAGGTAATTCATGACTTCGTGAAATTATTTCATTTTCTGTGAAGTGAAAATGTCACAAACACAGTTTTAGTATTAAGTAACTTTGCAACTAGCATTTAACAGTAGTTTCAATGAAGGGCATTTGCTATCCCTATGGCTATTTTGAACTTCAATATACTGTGCTTATTTTCTTTCAGTTACACATTTGCATCTGGTTCTCCAGATAATATTAAGCAATGGAAATTCCCAGATGGAAACTTCATTCAGAACCTGTCTGGTCACAATGCTATTATCAACACCCTGGCTGTAAATTCTGATGGCGTTCTGGTCTCAGGAGGTAAAAATGAGAAGTACATGTTCATGTTTCCCTGCTCCACTCCCACACACATGTATGGCTGGAGGTCCTTAGACAAAGATGCTCACTGAGCTCTCCTTTAGGCCCATAAGCCTCCTACAGCATATAACTTAATTTCATACAGAACAGGGCCTCTTATTTTCTTGGATGTTACTGAGCTGCATGCACTAAAATGTGTTTGAAAAGACTTCTAATCTGCAGCAAGGAAGAGGTTTCCTCTTCTCAGTTGGCTACTGCTGCAAGGCTCCGGAGTCCATCCTCTGTGATCTCCTGATATTAGTGTCCTCTCGGGAGTGGTGTGGAAGTTGGAAGCTGCCTGGGAGACATCTGGTTCATTGTTGGCTGCTCTCTGTTAGTAACATACTGGTGCACTGAGAATGGATAGAAGATATAGAAACATCTTGCTAGAGCTTCCTGTGCTATTTAAATGTGAACTCTTGCAGCACAAATGCATTGGTTCTGTTGTCTCCAGTGTTATTGCATGCGTTTTCTCATGTTAGCTTCATATCATTTAAAAGACTAACTTGCAGAGCCTGAGTTTTCACCTCTTGGTTTTACTTGTCTAATCATTTGGGTAGTTGTAAATAAGGATGGGACTCAATTCATAGCATCACATGTGATAAGACAGTTTAAGATGGGTTCCATGAGTTTTCAGAAGCAGATACTTAGGAAAAACATTTCTGTGTTTGTAACCAGAGCATAACAAAAAGAAGTAACAGTGAAGTTACACTTTGGAACACTTAAATGTGTTTGGTCCGATTTGATACAGTATGTCCTGTAGGCTAGAGATGCAGAGTAAGATGGAAATGTGCAAAGCAGGAGTTGGAAGATAGCTAATTATATTTGGCTCGTATTTCAGTGTTTATTCACTTCTAGAAGGTCTTTGTACAACTTTTTTGTTAGTAGTAGTTGAGGCATTGTTACTTTAAAAAAAAATTGAATATTGATTCTCTTACTTTACATCCTCATGCTATCTACAGCAAGTTCAAATAAGATGATGCTCAATTAAAATAACTTGAGGTTGCCTTATTTTACTGTAGAAATACCCTTCTTGAAACATCTGGATTTCTTGTCTAGCTGTCAGCTGTGCTGAAATTTTCAATAGCTCTGTTTTGGCTAGATAATGCTTTGGGAGGGGGATTGCTTTGAGAGCATCCTTATGAATACAGAGTTCAGGTTGCTGTGAATATACCCTGTAGCTGATGCTAGGAGCAGTAATATTGGCAGTGGTTTAAAATGTATTTGAAGTAGAACCTCTGCAAACATTCAGCCCATTACAGATTCCTTAATGTCTATAGTCTGTTTGGCAGGATGATGCCTCTTTGTTCAGCTTTAGTGGAGCTACTGAGCAGGGAGCTTGATATTAGAATGCCAGTCCTTACTGTGCTTCCAAAGCAAATAGCTGCAATTGCTTTGTGATGTAGTGTAATGTCTCTCTGGGTTAACTGATGCAAAACTGGTTGAGGTTATGAGGAAGCTTCCATCAGCCTTCTTAAACAATCTCAGCCTTTCTTAACTAAGAAGGAAACCAGTAGAAAATGGGGAACCTCACAGGGTGTATTGAGCTATTCTGTGAGTGTTATAGCTGATGTATTCCTGATGTATTAATTAGTTGTTTGTGATACTCTTGAGAAAACTGACAGAAATTGTTAAAATACTAAGTATGTTTGTTTGTTTGTTTTAGCCGATAATGGTACAATGCATCTTTGGGACTGGAGAACTGGATACAATTTCCAGCGAGTACATGCAGCTGTGCAGCCAGGCTCTTTGGACAGTGAATCAGGAATATTTGCTTGCATTTTTGACCAGTCAGAAAGCAGATTGCTGACTGCTGAAGCTGACAAAACCATAAAAGTATATAAAGAAGATGATACTGCAGTAAGTTGAAGTGTCTTTTTAATGTAGTTTCATGAAATAAAAATTTTCAAACAAATGTTACACATATCAATAAGGGACATGCATAGACCTGTGTAATCCATTTTATTGAAGTTTGAAAGCAATATGTATGTAATAATGTTAAGAGGACAGCAGCTAGTTTCTGCACTCCTAATTTCTTATTAACTGCTATAGTATAAATGTCAGGTCTATCAACTCTTCTGCAAAAGTCCTTTTTGATGAAGTTTGGACGAATCTTAATACAATAATGTACATTGTGTTTTGAAGCCAGTAGGAGACTGTGTGTGGTTGCATTGATTAAAACATGGGAATTAGCAAAAAGTTTACATTTTAAAAATTTAATACACTTCTGTATATGATCTAGATTGGTCATTTGCTGTGACAGTTTGTAGAATTCAGAGTAAATAGCTTACTTTCAAACTGTTATGCTCAAATCTGAATCCATTTACTAATAGACAAAACAATAGATTATTGTCTAGTTTATTGGAGTATGTCTTCAATATAAAGAATATAAGGATTTTTATTAAACCTTGGAATTTTTGCATTGATTAAACTGGGAGTAACTCTTGGATATCAAGGAATAGGAATGTTTTATCCATTTTTCAGTTGGGCAAACTGTAGACTTTGTGGCATGTGCCGATACTGATGTAGGTATCACCCAAAGGACTGCCTCTGGAATTCCTGTTCCTGTGCTTTGATCACTGCAAGGGTGTTTCTGAAATGCTGTTGGCAACCTACTTTTTGTCCTTGTTGCACAAAAAAAGAAGACAAAAAAAACCCAGAAAAAGATTTGTCGTGTACTTCAGACAGTGGGATGATGTAAAATTTCATTCGGGTAAATTAATTATATAGTAGATTAGGCAATTGTAATGTTACATATGAAATAGAGTATATATGCTACATGATAAGACTTTAAGCTAAACCGTAATTACAGGTTAATTTAAAGTTAAAAATAATCCTTATGAGATTTTCCTTTTTTCCCCTTTAGACTGAAGAAACTCATCCTGTCAGCTGGAAACCAGAAATTATCAAGAGAAAAAGATTTTAGTGTGGCAACATACTTACTCCATAATTTTATTTTGGATTTCCTGAGAGCATTCGGTCACATTTTGTTCTGCCTAAAACAGCAGAGCAGGAAGTCAGCTAAGTCATTGCTATTTCAACATGGTTTATAATAAATTTTATTTCTCTTTCTTTTTGTCTTTTTTGATGTGATCCCAGCAAACCAGTTTCTGTTAACTTTCTCTTTGTGGAGTGTGTATAGTTCATGAAAAGGGTAGATGTGCAGGTAGTTACTTTTTTTATATGAATCTATTGAGTGTAAGTCTAAAAATACTTTGAGCCAGGTTTTCCGGAAGACCCTCGCTTGACCCCAAAAGTTAATTGCAAATTTATGCATTGAAGCCATCTATTAGAAATTTCTTGAGTGACACTTCTGGATTTTTGACCAGTATTGTTTACTGTACGTGTGCTAAGTATATACTGTAATGGAACAGTATATATACTAAATTACAGAGTAATAGAGTAATCAAGAAAGAAGCAGGACAATATAATAACAATGTAGTTTGCTGCCAGTGCTGTGTTATTGAATGAAATGGATTCTTTCCCTAGGAAAGCTTTCATATGCAGGTACTCATCTTCACTCATTTCATTTCAGAGTGGACCTTCTATAGCAAGGACCACTGTCCAATCATATTATTCCTAATCACTACAGGATTAGGATCAGTTGACTTTCTTTGTAAATCACCTGTTTGTTTTTCCCACTTATCCAAAGCATATAGGACATTAGAGTACAGTGAACTTTTAAAACTGAGCTCTAAGAGGAAAAGCTCTTAAATCATTCCAGCCTTAATCTTACATGTTGCTGTCTCCCCGTGATCTTATGAAGGAATTTAAAATAAATTAAAAAATATTACTGAAAGATAATTTGTACTCCTGAAGGGACAAATCTTCCATTGTGTTTACAAACAGTCACATAACAAGCAGTAAACATGTAAGCCTCCTTGCTACAGCTTATCTGTGATGTCCGTGCTACTGTAAAGCTCTTTCTCTTCACGCCGGAGAAAAGCGTTAAGTCATCAAACCAGTCTTTGGAAACTTTGCTGGTGGTGTTAATAGCTGCACTGGCAAGTTTCATGCTGGGTAGATGCTGAGAATTCTTCTGTGGCCACAGCATTGATAGTAAGCAGTTCACAATAGTTTTTTCTGTTCTCTGCCAGTCCGACTTCCTTCAATTCTGGGATTTATGATAGAGAAATGACAGTTACTTGCAATGTAACTTACAAAAAGCTAGTAAAACTAAGTGGTGTTCACACTTCGAGAATTTTGTCTTGTCTTTTATGATGCTCAGGAGGTCTTGTATTCATAATTTGAATGTTTGACAGTGTTGTTTTAAGGGAGTCTGTGCTGCATAAATAACTGAACTTTGGTTGCCAGCTATTGCCTGAAGCATCCTCACAAAAAAGGGAGGAAAGTATTTGGTATTTACGAGTTGGATTAAACATCTTTTATTTGGATGCTTATTTGAATTTTTCTAGTTATTTATTGCAGCTGTTTTCATTTTAACTAACATAACAAGGAAAAATACAGGTTGTGGCTTATGCATGTTGTACACTGCTGCTAATGCTTCATTCTGGAAATTGGTGAAGTATTGGTGTTACACAGAATTTTCTTGCTCACAGTGAAATCCCTCTGCAGGAAACCGGAGTGGAGAGGAGAAACTTACTTGAAAAGGGGTGGGATTGCTGTGGGGTTTTTTGGGTTTTTTTGGTTTTTTTGGTTTTGGGGTTTTTTTAAAGTGTCTGTTTCTTTTGATAATTTGGAATCAGCATGGGAAAGTTAAAGGGTTTGTCTCAGTTCTAGCACATCTTCTCTGGAGTGGCACTTTCCTTTAAAAACTGCATTTATTCCACTGTTTATCGCTTTGAGGAGAGATAATAGTCTCCTGCAGAACCTGTGTTTCTTCCCTGGACTTCTGCAGGAAGCATGGGGCAGTGGTTGCCCGGGCTTTGTGCCCGGAGTAAAGATTTGTTTTGCAAATTAAAAGCTACGCATTATTATTATTTGGAATAATACTTCTCCTTTTTGGCTCTATAATATGCTGCCTGAGTTCTAAGTGTGATTTAATTTTTTTTTAATTGTATTCTTTAACATCTGATTTGCTTGTTCATTTCCCAGCACTTTTTTCTTCCACTTGACAGTAATGTGATTATCATCACATATACTTCTATAAGTATTATTTATGACACACCAAGATTGTCAGATTTCATTTAAGTGCTTCTCTAGTGCAAAGTAAGCCTAGATAGTGAGTTGTGATACACATATATCTGATCATGTAGGATACACATGACATTAGATTTGTCCATGTAAGTCATGTGGTGAAGCAAAAGACCAGGATCTGGTCCATTGGACCTATTTTCCATGCTTCTGGAAAGTGCCACACTGCCATGTCAGTTAAAGTGATCTTGAATTGGGAGTCTAATCTCAGAAAATAATTATTGTCATTTATTTCATAAAATTGATGTTGTCTGCTGTATATGATCAAATCATACACATTTCTACTACAAACCTTGGCTTTTGTTTTATACTGTACATAATTGCAGAGAAGCAAGAAAATGTTTTTTTTTGTTGTTTGTTTATAACATAGTTCAAAAAAGTGTAACTGGTAAAAGCGATAAATTTTAAGGATGACACTGCTGTATACTAAAGCATACAATGGAAGCTATGCAGCTAGAATGCAGTCATTTGCTGGCAGCATGAAAGTTTTGCAGAAGATTATGTCTTTGGCAATTTACAGGCTTACAGATGTAAATCTTTAATACACAGTTTCTTTTTAGTCCTGTTAGAGAAGAATTAAAGCGGTATGCCTGATTTAAGTGACAGCAATTTAGCCATCAATAAAACTTTCAGTACAATATGATTTCATGTCTTTTTTTACATTTTGCGTTTTGTTGTAAGAGGAACAAAAAATAACTAAATATGTATTGAAAGTTAAAGTAATTTAGGATTAAAATTGATGACTGTTTCCCATAGTACAGCAACAAATATTTTTGCAAATCAGCTGTAATGGAGAGAGAAAGTACTGATGGCTGTTTTATGAAGAGCTTTGTATCTGTGTGAAGGATTTAGCAAAAACAAATGCAGAATTGGTCATGAATATTCCCTAACGTTTAAAAAAACCCCACATTGACACTTCTTTGGAGTGAAGTATGAGGTCTTGGACAGGTTCTGGATAGGAGCTGTGTGGGTGGACAAAACCTTAGGGTTAAACTGATTTTGGTATATGTTACTGGGAGCAAATTAAAGGGATATTTCTGTCCATGGCACATAACTGAAAACTTGATTGCAATGAAATCAATGGGAGTTTAACATTTATTTTTGAAGTCAATATTTAATTCAGTGGGGTGTTTCAGTTTTTTGTTTGGTTTTGTTGGGTTTTTTTTCCTCAAGTGAGTTGGAAAAACTCAGCCTGGCACATCATGTATGTAAGTATCCACACAAGGTGCCTTTTTTGTGCACAAGATGCATAATTCTTTAGACGAGGCTTCTAAATTTTCATTAGTACACCTAAGAAAAGGGTGAGGATTTGGAATTAATGAATGCCAGTAAGCCTGATCAGCTGAAAAAAGTCAAATTGCAATTTTGTTCTAGAAAATTTGTCATTGGATTAGCTGGATTTAACTAGGATACACATGACTTTCTATGGAAGCTGTTCCACCAGCAGAATATGCAGTTGGTGAAACACGTCATTCCTTTGAAAGCCAACAGGTCTTCAGCTGAAATGAGCTTGAAGGCTGTATTAAGAGAGAAGATTTTTGACTTGTTTTTTGTCTGTAGTTGAAAACTTGGCAGACGGGGAACTACAGATTTCACTGGTGGTTCATTTAGGTAGAGCTTGTCACTTTGGAAACCTCCATCTGATGCTTCAATGGCAGTTTTCTGGCTTTTACGTCTTGAAGCCTTATGAACTTAGTTCTGTGCTTAGTAGGTTAGAAGCTGTCTGAAAACTGGCAAAAAAGTTGGATGAAAAGGAATGGCCATCCCTGTCTAAAGACTATCCTTGCAAGAATTTTGGGTGCACAGAGGAGAATCTGTATTTCTTGTTTTGATTTTAAGTAAGCTTCTGTAACTAGGCTCTAATTGCAGGCTAGCAAAATGTGGTTGCTTCTGTGAACACTTTGTCACATTCATTTTTCCTATGCTTCCTTATTTAAAAAAAAAAAAGTTCAACAGGAGTCATTCAGTATTGTAATTTAATCTAGGATGTGTCAGTAACTTGAAAAATATTAGTGTAAGCATTCACAAATTTTGATGTTGGAAATGACAGGAGAGGTTTTCCAGCAAAATAACCAAATCTAACCAAGAAAATTTTCTCTGTAACTAGTGTGTATTCTACCAATTGGTATAAAACAGCAGTCAGATGTTTTAAAAGATGTATGAAAAACTGTAGGGTTTGTTTTAGCTGGGAACTGTGGAGTTTCTAGATGTGAACTTTTTTTCCAAATGTTCTCTTGAAAATCCTTTAAAAGATTTTGACTTAGGGATTTGCAGGATCAACCCTTGGATGTTACTGCTTTCCCAGTGCTGCTTGTATTGAAACTATGTAGTATCAGCTCTGATGTTTAGTTGTGAACCTTTAAGTCAGTAACATGTTAACTTCCCTCAGGTGCATGTTATCACAAAGCTTTTGGTAACATTTCTTTAGGGTTTTTGTTTTGGATATATTAAGTACACAAACCCCAAATGTGTATCTAAAACACAGATTAATGGGGGCACTTGCCTGCAAATTAGACCTCAGGGGTACAAACTAGTTGCGCTAAGTGCTTGTCTCCAGGTAAAGGACATTGAAATCACTGACAAGGAAGCTATAGTTGAAAATAAAAGTCTTAGGTTTGTACAGGCTTGGGAAAACTGTATTGTGCTAGGTTTTTACTTTCCTCGAAAAACCACACACTTTACACTTGTGTTTGAGGAGTGCAGATAATGTGTGTGAAACGCTTGTTTCTGCCAACATTTCTTGCAACCTCTCTGCTTTATTTTTAGGATGAACATACATCCTTGCAAGACACCTCACCTTTACTCTTTCACCCACAGTAACAACTCTTGGTCTTTTAGATGCTGCAAATGTCTGTCTGTTTTTGGGGTTTTTTGTTTGTTTGTTTGTTTTTTTCCCCAGCTGATGCATTGCTAAGAGGACTAAGAGGTTAAGCCCTCCAGAGCAAGGGAGAGTCTATGCAGCATCAATATGAATTATAAATACCAAGGGTTACACCTAGAGAAAAGACTTTCTAGAGACCAGATAAGAAAGGGCTGTAATTAACTGATATCTCTCAGCGAGGTGAAAAGCACAGTAGAAAAACTAAG